TGCTCTTTCAGAATGTTAGTCACTCGCCTGGGTGTCTTGACGGCCTTTATTATGTCAGTTAACATCCGAAAAAACGAAGCTTCAAGTCAAACCTGTATCAGAAATGTTGTGGTACGATACTACGCAAAAATTGCAAGATCAATCAGTCAGTGTGCCCTCCCTTCCCCCTCCCCTGGACATACACACACTCGAAAACACACACACACACACACACGCACACACACACACACACACACACACACACGCACACACACACGTATTCACACACAGCAAACACACACACCGCTACCAAAGAAAAATTAATTTTTTAAAAAGCCCAACACACAATCCCAAAGAATAAACAGGCAAAAACCGTAAAAATCAGTCTCGTTGCCCCGATATCCATCATCCATCCTCCACCCTCCGCACGGCCACACATACACCCACCCACACACATACACAGAGAGAGAGAGAGAGAGAGAGAGAGAGAGAGAGAGGGAGAGAATTCAGACACCTGAACGTTTTGTCTCTCATGGCCGACTGTTTTATTGCAAGGGCAATGAAAAATTAAATGTGCGAAATTGTATACCATGATAAAAGCCCCTTTCAACCCTGTAAGGTTTTAGAAGGCAGAGCCTCCAAATTTAACATCCTTCAATAGAACCAAATTAATGGTGGAGAGCCTTAAAACCTCCCCGAATAAACCCAAGCTCACAACGCCTCGATGTGTTTTGGGGCTAAAAGTTCCGTAGTTCAGCGTGATAAAAACGGAACTAATATTACGTCCCCCCAGACCAAAGATGCAAGTTTCTCATCTGAAAACATCCTACGGTGCAGTACTACAGTGGATTGTCTTTGTATTCACAACAGTCAACTGCTATTGTGTGAAGAGACTTTGTTATATATACTCGTCTGACAATAAATTTACATCCCATACCACACTGCTACGACGTAGTACAGTTATTTATCGTTGCTCAATATAATGTGTTGTTTCTGTCTGTCCTACTTTCGTCCAGCAGTAAATTATGATCCCTATTGTGGCGATGTAGATCTACTTCTCTTTACCCTAAGGAAGAAACAAACAAACGAACAAGCAAACAAACGTTTAGTCAAATTCCTCACTTTCTGAAACATTTCGACTCTCTCTACCTTTCCATTTCGTGTTTAATTTTACTTCTGACACAAAATGGCACTGCAAACTCCTACATGGGACCTTACACGTTGATTATCATTGGTGCCACACCATACATGGCGTAGTGTGTGCGACCAGACATTATGGGAAAGGGGGGGGGGGGGCTCTCGTGGGCAAGGGGTCACGGTGTTCGCCTGTCATTAAGTAGGTCCCGGATTCGAATCCGTATAGCGACGGAAAAAATTCTTATCTAAACTGTTCTACTTTCACCTCCTTTCCTGGTATCCAAAAATGTTCTGTCGCCTGCTTTCGTCTCCACTTTCTGCCCCCACCCCCTCACCTCCTTTGCCACCTCCTTCGGGCTCCTAACTCTTTCTGCAGCCTTTCTTTTGCTACTCCTAGGCTCCTTCGTGCTGCTGTCTTTCAGCAAAACACCCCTGGTCGTATGGTAGATAAAATCTAACCCTTTTCGGATAAGGGTGAAAAATCTCGGAGGTCCCATGTGAAATTTGTGTACGTTAAAGATCGCTTGGTGGTCCAAAATCGATAAGAGTAGGATTATGCCGCCACCCGGCCAAATTCTAAATTAATTCCTACCAAACTAAAACTAAAACTGCTTAATGTGTCCCGTGCGCTCATATTACATGTATTGTGACCCAGTTACGAGCGCCGTAAAACATGTACCCCCCCCCCCCAAAAAAAAAAAAGAAAGAAAAATAAAGGACATCATAGTGCATAACCTTGTGACATAATAATGCTAGATCGTGCACTCTGACATACATTTGATACACTATTTTCTAGCCGAATACATTGTACAATGTATAAAGAATTAAAGAAACAGCTTATTTTGTCGGTTTAGTATAATCAGAGAGCTTAGAATTACCGGTATATTCATAGAGTTAGATGTACCTCCTTTTTAAACCAAAAGTGCCAATTGTGTACATCTTTTTTTTCTATGATGAGTATAGATCCGATGGAAACGTCAAAGGGACGTAACCATAGTGATAGCTCTTCTTTCAGAGACGGCGTAACTACTTCCCTTTATTATTACATGACGATGATGATGATGCCAAGATTGTCTTTTAATATTTATCAACAAGTTCCTTGGGTTATGTCACAAAGAGTAGGCAATTGGTATTAAGCTTCTGTGTATTCAAATGGACAAATCCCATATAACTAATAACAAATTTGTTTATTTCTAATTTTATTATTTTTCAAACTTAGGCTCCACAACTCTGTATAGATCTAATGCCCTTTGAGGGCACAGAAGTAGAAGTACAGCCATTGCAGTTTACATTGAGGCGTTGGTACTGCTAACTGTGGGCAATTGAGGAAGATACCGGGGTGATAGTTGTTGTAGGTTTTTATAATCCCTTTTTGTAGAGGAGGAGTGAGGGTGACGGGCCGGGAATAGGTAATGGATCGAGGTCGGGAGTAAGTGGGGGGGGGGGGGGGGGGGCGGTTAGGAATGGAAGGGTTGATGGAGAGGGAATGAGGGGTGGGGTTTGGGGGGGGTGAAGGGTGTGGTGAAGGGAATGGAAGGGGGAGAGGGTGAGGGAGAGGGAGTGAGGAGGAGACGGGTTGTGAGGAGTCCGGGTGAGTTTAGTTCCTGCAAGAGTAACGTCTACAGTTAATTATATTTATAGAAAAATTAAGAGCGACAGTCTCTGCTGCAGCGGCTACATTTGACTGAACACTGCGGTTCGCGCGGGGGTGGGCGTTTGAGATGAGAATTTTTACTCATTAACCTGCGTACGTCAGAAGTCGACATTGCAGAGATGTTGTTTTCCTCCTCGTAGGCTGCAGCTAAACGTCTGGTCTCCAAGATAAGCGGTCCTATATGTTGCGTCCTCCCAAATAAATGGCTACACATTAATCTCGAGGGCCTTCGTGTCTCTGGAGACACATCTTTAAATTTAAACATTAGTTGGAGCGACCTTTTCCCAGTCTCCAGCAGCCCATACAGGATGTAGTTAAGGATTTATGTTCTTTCATCTTGCACCATGGGATCGTGGTTTAGCCAGCGAGGTCGGCGTTGTCTGAACATCATCATGTGTAGTGTGGCAGCACGTTCGTGAGGACGTTGTTTTTTGTCACGTGGTCTGACCATTCAATTATCTTATCATCTGACCATTCACTTAAATCTCATCATGTGACAAATCAATTCGATGCCTGAAATCATCCTAACCTAAATCTAATTAGTTTCTCATAATATTGAAGGAATTGAGCCTGTCTGGGGTAGACCTACTACATGTATCAAGTTCAATCTTTGCTTCCATACGAATAAAGGGCGTGGAGGACCCGAGTCGGTAGACGGTCACTACCATAGACGCCTGCTTTTAAAAAAAATTTCCCGTTGGTTTAAGGGAAGGCACTGGTCTTCAAAATACATGTACGAAGTTTGGGTGAAAATAAAATTGCCGATTTTCCAACTGTTTACATTTTCGAGTACTTGAATACAACCATAAAAAAAGAAGAAGATGGAGAATCTGGGACATGTTCTAAGAATGCCGAAGACACGATTGCTCTGTCAGACACGGTATTGGAAACCAACTGGAAGACGAAAACGAGGATGACCAACTGGAAGCTATAGCTGCACGATAAGGGTCGGGGCAATCACCCATGGCTTTGATTTAGTTTGATTTGCCGAAATTGGAGGACGTGGCCAGGGACAAACAAGCATGGCGTCGACTGCTCTCCGGCTTATATAGGCCTACCTGACGGTCTAGGGGGATAGTCAGTAAGTAAGAATATCCTAGGAACCGAAACTCCCTGATCTCCATTTGGAAATATTTGTAAAATCAATTTTAGGGGCATTACTTTCAGGGTAGGCCTACCTTCCTCAGAGTAAGGCCCCTTTTTCCATCAAATTAGCCCCAAAATAGAGAGAGACAGAGAGAGAGAGGGGGAGAGTGAGTGAGTGAGTGAGTGAGAGAGAGAGAGAGAGAGAGAGAGAGAGAGAGAGAGAGAGAGAGAGAGAGAGAGAGAGAGAGAGAGAGCGAGAGAGAGAGAGGGGGTGGGTAATATACGAAAGGGGTTTAGTTGAATAAAATCCACGTATTTATAAACTTTAAAATGTAAAACTGAGCTTCAACTTCAAGATATTGATTGCTGCCACTGAAATAAATATGGATAGATAATGACTTGATAATTTGATAGGCAATGAGCAAAAAATATCTCTACTGTATACTAGAATACAAATCAAAAGTGAGAAACAACCATCCCTTAGCTCCCCCTCCCCCCTTGTTCATCACCCGAAGACCTGTTTTTCACACACACACACACACACACACACACACACACACACACATACACACACACACACACACACACACATACACACACACGCACACACCAAAGTCTCGGCGTGCACTCGCTATGTAAAAATAAGGAAACCTACGTGCTGTCAATTCTGTGGTAAATTAGAAAGGCGCTCAATTTGCTGCTGCATAAAAGATACAAGAGCTTGATTCCCAAGTCGGGAGCAACTTTTATCGAGTATTTCTGTCTTTCTGCTGAGATGTTGTCATGTATCCATCTCAGCTCGGGTTGGCCCTAACAGGCAGGATCAAAAGCCCACCTCCGAAATGATCTAAATTATGTTGAAGAGTTATTCGATGGCATTGCTGTTTACAAATTAGATGGCTTTCTTGATCAACAATCGACGTTGTCGATTTACTTCGGATTTACTCAACCAAAGTTTGCCTTTAGCAAACTGAGAAATTGATGGACAAATTACATCTCAGATAGATCTCTACATTCTTTCTTGTTGGGGCCTTATGGTAAAACGACACTTAATCATGGCATAATACTGTTGTACCAGGTGCACGTATATATATATATATATGGAAAACAGCAAATTATGGAAAAAAATTACAACTCAATGGGATTCTATAAAAATCGAAATGTTCTACTTTTTATTTCATGACAATGAAAGGTGAGATGATGTCGCCCCAAACATTCCCCTGTATAATATATTGCACTTTCCCATTGTTCATCACTGAGATTCAGGTTCCTCCACTCTGTATGCTTTCTTCGATGTCATTTGATCCTGCAAGTCATCACCTGAGAATACAACAAAAGCATTCTGTTGGGGACCTGGGTGTAGGAAGTGACTGGGAATACAAAATGCAGCATGACGTGGAGTTTTAAAGTATATTCAGGCAATAATTGGCAATTAAAGGAATTCATCTAGTCAGAATCACATTGTTTTGTGTGTGACTGCAAAGTACATGTACCAAACTTTTACACCACTGACGTGGGAATTCCACGAAGTGCAGAGACAATATTTGTTTTAGTGAAGAGCGTTACAAAGCGATTTGTGCTGCAGAAAATGCCAATACATCAGAAATTCAGTCGTTCCGTTTGTTTCATAGATGCCTAGAGCAATGTAAATTAGAATTTAAAAGAATAAATTCTTAAGATTGTTCAAATATATTCTCTTCATACGCTCATAACTATGATGACAAAAAATGTTATCATAGTTATGCACAGAATAAATTTTTACTCTTATTTCATACATGTATAACCCGACCCCTGAGACGCTCGCGGCCGCGCAGTGAAGCACCAGCAATGGCCTTACTACACCAAGGAGTTTAGAACTACATGTACTGTAAACTCCTTGCCTTACACCCGCTCTGGGTGAAGCCTCGATCAGGAGGACTTCGGTGCTTGCACGCGCGACTGGTGGCGTCCCACACACCATACATAAGTGCAATGCCTCCCTCAAGTAACCACATGTCCTTGTCATAGAGATAGGCCTAGAGAGGAAGAAAACTCTCGGCTCTGAATACATGTTATATCCCCAACTCGAAAAAGACACTTTCAAAAAACAGATCGTACAGCAGAATCATATTATCATAATTATTCTGTCGGGCAGTCGGGGCTAGATTTATAGAAGAACTCCACTGAAACAAAGACCGTGATGTTTCAATAGCCCTATCTCGCGTTCGCGCGAGACTTCGGGGCTTCCCTGTGCTGGAGCGTGACGGCCCGTGATACGAGCGTAAAGTAAGCAAACGTTTCAGCGCTCTTGAGTTGAACGCGTGCAATTTGTCAGCGGGCAGGGAGAGAGAGAGAGAGAGAGAGAGAGAGAGAGAGAGAGAGAGATAGATAGATAGATAGATAGATAGATAGATAGATAGATAGATAGAGAGAGAGAGCGAGAGAGAGAGCGAGAGAGAGAGAATGGGGGGGGGGAAAAGGGGGGGGGAGAAGGGGGAGGGGAGAAAGGGAAAGAGAGGGAGAGAAACTGAATTGGGGGGGTGGGGAGAGAAAGAAGGAGAACGAGAGAAAGAGAGAGAGAGAGAGGGGGGGGGGGTTATTATAATAAGAATTATTGTTTCCTGTCATTTCCTATCTGCGTAAGTTTTCAGGTTGACCCGGTGCTATACAGTCATTATTGTAAACATATAATATAACCATAGTCCCATCTTCCAAATCCCACCTTCTGTTCCCCATCTCTCACCTCTTCCCATGTAGGCCATATCCCAAATTTAATTTTGTAAGCACGCTTTGTTTTTTTTTTTCATCTCATGGGGTGGAACGCCTGAAGCAGGCCAAAATATTAAATAATTTTTATACATCACTGTCGCCAATGTCCAAATCATATGTGCTGTTCAAGCACAACTTTTCAGCAGCTTGATTTAATAATACTGTTTTTGGTTTTTTTTAGAATCAAGGTTTGGTCTCCATGAGATTTTTTAAATGTAATCTCTTTGGAAGCGAGTTTATTTTTACTTTCCCTAACTTACAATTCATCCAGCATGACTACAGGGATATATAATATTATTATGATGTCCATTTGGTCAGAGAATTGCAGTTAGAATCAAACTTTCATGTAAGCAGTGGCGGTGGGTGAACCTAGATTTGGGTGGGGCTTAGGTTTCTTCCACTTCTTTACCACTAAAAAGCAAGCAATAAGAACAACACAGTGATGATTTTTCTATACTCACGGCGAGCCACGGCATTTTGAGAACCATTCAAACGAGAAGAGTCACCTTTGTCTGCCATCTCTTTGTTCAACGTTAAATTCTTCTGGATGGTGGGGACGAAGCCGTTTCACCTCCAAATTTCTCTAATTAGTTTTTATTTTATGAAAAAGTTGCCTCAAAAGTAGTTTGATGTAATTAATAACTGTTAAATCTCAGCGGCACAAACACACAGCACTCCAAACACACACCGTCTATGAGGTGGATTGGGTCGTGTTGTTGCAGAAAATAGAACGCGCCTAACAAAGGGGGAAAGTGTGTCGTCAACTTTCACCCCATTGTCAGGGCTGGGAGAGCGTGAGCCCTCTGTGCAGTGTTATTTTTTTCAAGTCTTCTACCTTTTAACAAGAGGGGTTTCATTAAGGAGAGACCGTGGGAACGGGCTGGTTGATTGCTGAGCCCTAAAGACATTTGATTGGCTGTTAGGTTACTATAGTTGTAAGCGGAGACAACAGTGATTGGATAAACGAGCAAGCCGCCAAGTTGATCACTCTGTGTTCATTGCGGTGGATCAGAACAGTTTCAACTGCTTATTTCGTTATTTTCATTTGCCTTGGGATAGACGTGGGGGTGAGGATGGGGGCTCAAGCCCGTGAGCCCTTCACTACCCACCGCCACTGCATGTAAGAAAGTAACAATCTGACAAGACTAATACATGTATGTCGAAAATGCTCCCCCTCGAGAGAAGTACATGTAATGTGACTCTCTTTACACAGCTCCAGTCGTCGTACTTCAGGGACCCAGATGATGGGGAAACAACTAGTTGTTGTTTGATATACATTGTAATTAATTAAGAAGAGACAAGGACATTTGAATCTGCAAGACACTGTTACAAAAGATCGCATCATCAAGTCGAAAAGAAATTGTAAAGCAAGACTGCATTGTGTCACCACAATACATTCACTTCTTTATAAGCTGGACAACGAAATTTACTCTTATACTTATAGCACGTAATGTCATTATTTGTCTGGTAATTCTGTAATTACATGTATTACCAACACACCATCCAGCACAACGTGCCTACATCAAAAAAAAATTCGACGGCAACAAAGCTAGAGGGCGACCGAGAAAGACCTGGATAGATGGAGTCAGGGAAACATTTACCACCCATGGCATCCCCCTAACCCAAGCTCTCCGGCTGGCGACAGAGAGACGTCTCTTTCTTCCCGCGACACCCAAAAGGGTATAAGCGGCGGATAAAAGTAAAAGTAATAGTAAATTCTGTAATTACTAAGATGTCCACCAGGGACAACGAGCTAGACTAACTACGACACCAGTTCGATCGGTGAACATATTGCTGCTTAAAATAAGAGGACCTGGCCATTCTGGAGTACCAGAGAATGAGACTGCAGACCAGTTATCAAAGACTGGAGCAAGCCTGCCCCAGACAGACACAGCCGCCTCTTTACAGACCTGCTGAGGGATCATCCAAGCCAAAAGAAGAGACGAGTGGCTAAACCGATGGGCCAACACAGAAACAGGAAGATCTCTCTTCGGGTACATGGACAAACCCAACCCCAAAGTCCTGCGAATCTGTTATGTAGAGCCGATCAGACTTTGATCTTCAGAGCCCGAACAGGACACGCACATAAACAAAATTAACCCTATGTGGGAACCCCATTGCAGACATTGTGACTACCACCAGGAGACCGTTGAACATCTTCACTGCCCAAATCTGGCAGGTCTTCGCCGCAGGCTCCTACACACACCTACAGACTTACAAAGTCTGCTCTACTCTGGCGTTGACCAGATGACAAGGACGTGTGGTTACTTAAGGGAGGCATTGCGCTGCCAAGGGCGAAATGCTCGCAGCTAAAGGGATTTGAAAACAACAACATCTAAAGTAGAGTATAACATGGATAGCTCAAACTCGTCGGGACCGGCCTCGGTAGTTCGAGAGATACGCGAACAGTGTTATGGCATCGGCTATGTCAGAGAATCAAGAGAAGCAATAAGATTGCTACTTTAGTCCCAAAACAATGATGAACACCGCTTTCGAGTTCGATCAGTTTTATGAGCCTACTGTTAGTACTGTTACCAAGACAGTTTAATTGCGCGGGTCAGTGTGTTAATCTACACCAATCGAATGGTGCCTTTTCAAAATTTTCAAAACATAAAAACAATTTGACAGGATAAGCATATATTATCAGGGTTGGTGATTTTTTTGATTTTTTAAATTTAAAAAAAATCGATTTTTAAAATTTAAATCAAGATTTTTTTGATTTAAATCGGATTTTTTATATTTTTTTTATTAAAAAAAAAATGTCGACACAGTTTGGGATTTTTGGTTGCTAAAAGTATGTTCTTTTAATGCTAAATGCATTGTCTTTATTTTAACTAATGATTAATTTAAGCAACCGCGAAAGAAAGCCTTAATCTGCTATATATATATATATATATATATATATATATATATAATATATATATCAATATCAGTGAATTATGGCTAGACAAAAAATGAAGAAAATGTCAGTCTAAAAGGAAGGGGGGGGGGGGGGTAATTATGCATACATAAACTTGTATTTTATTACAGTGTGTGTGTGTGTGTGTGTGTGTGTGTGTGTGTGTGTGTGTGTGTGTGTGTGTGTGTGTGTGTGTGTGTGCGCGCGCTTGTGTTTGTCTAAAAAGAAGAAGAAAATGTTAATTTCAATAATGAAAAAAAAAAGTAAATTGAATACTGTATTATTTTACAGTAACAGGGGGGAAAGCAGACTTTTAAGCATGATTATATTAGTCTACTAAACCTTATAACTGTTTTATAAAACCAAGGAAAGGAATTCTGAATGTTTAAAGATGTAGAAACAGAATACATTTTTTTAAAGTGATTTAAATCACTGAGTTTTATTTTTAAAATCAAGTTGATTTAAATTTTAAAAAATCAACTGATTTAAATCGACCTGATCTAAATCAACCCAACCCTGATTTCAATTATGAAAAAAAAGTCAATTGAATACTGTATTATTTTACAGTGACAGGGGGGAAAGCAGACTTCTAAGCATGATTATATTAGTCTACTAAACCTTATATCTGTTTAATAAAACCAAGGAAAGAAATTATGAATGTTCAAATATGTAAAAACAGAATACATTTTTTAAAAAGTGATTTAAATCACTGATTTTTATTTTAAAAATCAAGTTGATTAAAATTTTTTTTAAAATCAACTGATTTAAATCAACCCAGCTCTCATTTCAATTATGGAAAAAAAAGTAAATTGAATACTGTATTTATTTTACAGTGAAAGGAGGGAACGCAGACTTTTAAACATGATTATATTAATCTACTTAACCTTATAATCTGTTTTATGAAACCAAGGAAAGGAATTCTGAATGTTAAAATATGTAAAAACTGAATAAAAATAAATGTTTTAAAAAGTGATTTAAATCACTGATTTTTATTTTAAAAAATCAAGTTGATTTAAATCAACCCAACCCTGTATATTATAATATCGTAACAACAGTAATCAACAATGCGATGAAAAAAACAAAACAATGCAGCCCTACCCTGCCTCTCCCACCAAGTGCGCAGTCACTTGCGAAGAGCTCCCCACAAGCCTAGCTAAGCAAAGGGTCAAGGCACACATATGTCGCGCAGCGTTAAAGATAGCACAGCTAGCTGCTTCTGTGGAGGGGGGAAGGTGGTATTTTACCGACCTTGCCCTTTTCCGTAAAAAAAATAAATTATTAACATTATTATTTCATTTCAAGTGCACCTCAAAGGACATTGGCTTTAGACCTCTACGGCGGCGTAATTAGTTTGACTATTCCGTGTTTGCACAGTTCCGCGGATGCCTGAGTTCGAATCATGTGTTCCACCTAACTGTACTGTAACTTGGTGATGTCCACAACTTTCGTCTCCAAATTCTGCCCCCACCCCATCACCTCCTTTGCCCCCTCCTCTGGGCTCCTGACTCTTTCCGCAGCCTTTATATACTGCTACTCCTTGGCTCCTTCTTACTGCTGTGTTTTAGCCACACCCTTGATCTTCTGGTAGGAAAAATCTACACCTAGTCTTCTCGGACAAGGGCGAAAAATCTCGGAGGTCTCATACGCAAGTTGTGCATGTTAAAGATCCCTTGGTGGTCTAAAATCGATAAGAGTAGGCTTCGGACGCCACCCGAGCAAAATTCAAAATTTCCTACCAACTGAAAATGTTTAATGTGTCCCGCACGCTCACATGACCTTATGCAGTTGCGAGCACCGTAAAACATTTACAACAACAAAAAATCCAGGCGTTCCTTGGTTGTCCTCTTGCCTTGTCCCTAACATTCTTTTGTTTCTTTTGAACTGTCCGTTTCTTTTTCTTTTTGGTTTCTGGAGCAGTAAAACTAATCCACCACCGGCTTGCTAGGCCTGTAACAGCTTCACCAGAGCCCCACCGGACATGATTTCAGGGTGAACCGAGATGGTCTCATGGCTACCGTAAAAACCCACACCATATATGCGCATCTTCCAAGCCGAACAATCACAATCCCCTACTTCGTCCGTTCCCACCTCCCACGACGATGGACGAGGGGTTGGAAGTGATTACTACTAGGCTATATTCAGAAGCATACACACAAATTCATGGAGTGAAGCAGTGACTTGGCATGGGCTGATGACTGGGCCTACATTGAAAGGTTTTAAAAAATGTTATAACCAGTTCTAGGCATTCTGAAGTGTGAGGGTGAAAGTAATCGCCTGGCGCAGAATAACCAGCCACATCCTTGCATTTTCTTGGTAATTTGTTAGATCTAGATCTAGATCTAGACATAAGATCTATATCTATATCAGTCATCAGCAGGCACACTCACACTGTGCTGGACCCCTTAAAAAAAAGAAAGGAAATGCTTACCTATCGTTTTCCGTTTTCGCCCTTCAGAATCAACTACTTTGATCCCTGGATCAGTAACTGGTTCATAGCTGTTGGGAGGGGGGACAGCACTGCTCTTGAACTCAGTAACTGGTTGGTCTTCGTCTTCTCCTGGCAGCTGTTTGTGGACTGAATCCCAATTCACATCTTTCTGTTCATCCAGTCTGAGAAACTCTGGTTTACTGCTGCGTTTCAAGCACTCATGAGCTGAAGGTAGTCTGGTGGATTTGGGGGAAGTCGTACTGTCTGCTGTTAAACTGTTTTCTTTAGATTGTTCTTCACTCTGACCCTGAGAGCTGGAGCTAGTTTTATCATTGGACCTTGCCCAATTGGTACCTGAAGAAGTAACTTCTACTTTCGGTTCTGCCTTTGTTGATTCCCTTCTTGGAACTGGCGTTGGTTCCTCGGCTTCGGCTTCATCGTTAGAATCATCACTTCCACTACTTATGTCCTCTTCGTCGAGGTCTTTGAAATACCGAGACAATGGATCTCGCTTACCTGTTGTCTTTGACATATTATATGGCAAAATAGATAGGTTTTTACTCTGAATGAGTTAGGGCTACAAAATTATTAAACTTTACAATAATGAATAGATGCTAGTTGAAACGGAAGTTCCACTGGAAAATACAACGAACGGTAACTCTGATAGACTTGCAGGTCGTGAACACCATAACAAGCGTCGAACGTCGTAGGCTAGACAGAAATTTGAACCAAGACCAAGGGTGTCTCGCATCTTCACAGTTTAGACCGTTTGGTTTTTAAAAAATTCAGGTACTGGTTTGCCCAATATAGAATCTAAATAGAAGTAGTGTTAAATATTCTGATGTTTTTCTCAATTGATGTTGGCCTCCCCATCATCATGGCTATGAATGAATGATGGCTCATACTCATGGCACACCACACACTACACTACACTAGATCTACACTCTACACGACACGGACTCACTTTGTCACTGTCACAGTATTTGATTGTGTAAAGTTTGTACTTTGTTTAAGTAGACTCTATATCTAGAGATCTAGATTTAAATCTACTTCTTTGGTGTAACTTTTACAAGTGCTAAAATATGATGATGGCTACCTCTGTGGGCAGTGGAGAGAGAGAAAGAGAGAGAGAGAGACGAGTAGCACGAAAACTTCCAGGCAAAACTATGCAATAGATCTAGATAGATCAAATTCAATTTCTTAAGCTAGAGGTTTTTAAATGTCTGAATATTCAGGTACTTCAGTTGTGGTTGGGGCAATGTTCCCGGACTACACTTCATTTGAAAATACCTTCAAAAGGTACTGCGAGAATACAAGACTGCCGGACCTAGGCAGTAACCTATTTTGCATTTAGTCACCCAGCAAAAACTAAAATCCTTCATGTAAAAAAACCAACCCTCCATGCCTCTCCTCCCACCCGTTTACACCTTACGTTGAAGTTTGTACACAAATTAACCTTTATTTTTGGTGTCGGAAACACTTTCGCATTGGGTGTAACTGAAAATTATAAGGAGCTTGATTTTCAAAGCTGAGAAGGTAATAGATCTATCTTTCCTCTTTATTGTCCTCAAATTTGAACGTTCTATTTCAAGTATGTGTTTAGAATTCATCATAAATGTACCACTACCTCCCTGTCCAAAGCGGTTTCGCATGGAGACCGGCCATTTTCCCCTCACTACCTCGGCAAATGTATGTGACCTACAAATCCCTGCATGATTATTCCAAGCCCGTTCATTGGTCACTTTGAAATAGGGCAATGGTGGGCGCGCACATCCAGTTGTTTTTTTCCCTGTTTCCCTGTAACATCGTAATGACACGGTAATGGGGGTGTTGCGAGATTTATAAGCTCGGGGTGTTTGAGTCTTAACGGGGGAAAAAAGGTTTTTAATTGTACGGCAAATGAGAACTGGTGGAAAGTCGCCCAAGGTCTGCGCCAGCAGACAACCCAGATTCTTCCTGTCGAGCCTGCAAGGAGGAGGACAAGACTATACTATGGACTATGTGTTCCTGAGATGTCCAGCCAACTGTCGTTCCAGAACTCGTCTGCTGGGACACTTCAGTAACCCACTTTCAGCACTTTTCAAGGACCCCCGAGCGACTGTTGAGTTTCTGCGTGCTGGTGGCATCGCTGACCATTTATGATGCCACAGTGCCAGAAGAATGAGAGAAAATTGCACGGCATGTTAGATTGAATTGAATTATTTTTTATGGTTGGCATGGTCTAAAGTCATCAAAGAAAGCTTTAAGTTGCCATTATTTAGTCACGCTGCCAACTTACGATGCTAAACATGTTTAGTAAATCTGACTGCAGAAATTGCATGATTTCTCCACCCAAAAACACATTGGTTAGCCAAGTTTCTTTCTAACACTAATTAATTACTGTACTGAGATGTCGTAGATTTTCTTACAGCTTTTGCTGTTATGTGGTCCACTGTTTTGGAGTATTTTCTTATATGTGGTTCTTCCATATTTTGCCGATCTTTACGACCCCATCACTTTTTTATTTATAAACCGATTCTTTAATTTCAAAAAGCATAATTCTTAAAATTTAAAACTCTTTCTTTGGTACCAAAAAAATGGGCTAAAGAAAAAAAATAATTTTCCATTGGCATTGCTACATAGCCTCTTCTCGTAAGTCAAGTTAATAAGTTATTAAAAGCAGTGACGCCCATGCCCATTTGAATACCCTTTTAGATGCTGTTGTTGTTACAAAAATCTATTGTTTGAAAGAAAAAAATATAGGTCAATGTCCAAATGTTTTGCTCTCGGATTTTTTCTGAATACGCTCCGCTGCTAACTGGTGTGCATTGAATGTAGGACCGGGATGATAGGGGTACATGAATGGAATGAGCTAAAAATTGGTAATACTTTACCTTTGGAGGCAAAAAAATTGAAAATGCAAGAATTAAAATTGTACTATCAGTTAAAAAAATAAATTATCATGGCTTAATGGTATCATGTCCATACATATATATTGTTATGAATTTATACAATTACAAAGCTCTATGATTACAAAGAAAAGAAAATCAGGAAATTTGGAGAAGAAAAAAGGTTCTGAATCTTGTTGTTTCTTTGAGTATAGTCAAATCTAAATGAGTATAACATTATGAATTAACTCTTGATCAGTTCTATGTCATCATTTGAGTCTGGAGGATATGTTCACACTCCCTTCCATTCAGTGAAAATTTGCATAAAATACAGAATTTAAGCCAGATTATTTGTGACAGCACATTGAAGAAAAAACCTCCGTTACATATTATTCCATGAGTACATTGTTTTACTTGGTATTCAGGTTGATTGAAATCACTGTCAGATTAGCTGCTCATGACCTCACAACGAGCTAGCAGCACGACTTTACCACTTTCAGTGGTATTTTCGGATATCTCCTTTCTGGCTTTCAGGCCATGTGAAAAACAAGGAATTACGATGACATTATCTTTTAAAATATGATTGTATTGTGTGGAAACTCACCAAACAGCTTGGAAAGTTCAACCTATCTGCAGTGGTGTAAAAAGTATATTCTGTGGAGTGATTAAATAATGCTCTTTTCAAAAACAACATCCACAAAGTAACCACCTTGTAACTTCTTCATTTTTTGCTTTATTTGCAAATGGAAGCCTGCAGTGAAGATTAATATCTCTAAATCTCTCTTTTCATTGGCTGCCAAATTTGGGGGCGTTTGGGTAGTATTATATATTAGATGTTTTGTAGCCCCTCCAAATAACTAGAGTCAGAGTCGGAAAATTACGGTGCCATTCGGTAGGTTTTGGTCTCTTTACTGACTAGTCCTCTTTCTTCAATAGAAAACTCAACTGTCTTTGAAGATGCGGGAGTAATTTTGTCTTCTGTGAATGCCCCAATTTCTCCAGCCAGCACATATTAATGTGCAATACATGGGTCCGACACACAGAAAACAGTGCAATAGATTAGTAGCATGTTCCTGGGGTTACCCTGGGGAGGGACGAGTCTACAGCATTTTTGTACCCGGGGCTTGGGGCTTGTCTACTTTTAGTTGTTTTTTTTTGGTTTTTTTGTTTGTGTATGTAAATTGCTGTTAAATGCAATGCAGTACTACTGGAATGGAGGAAAAACTACTAGGCTAGTACTTATGTCAAAGGAGGAGGGGGAGAAATTACAAGCTGTCCATCATGTTTTGAATCCTGATAACCATCCTATATCATTGAAGATGACTTTTAATACTGATGCTGCATAAGTCTGGGTCAATGATAAACTCCCTGATGTGAACTACGTATCTGCATATTTAACACCATACTGCTTGTTTGTTTTTTTTTTTGAAGTTGATTCTTTGTAATCTTGGTTATGCCAACACCCTCTCATAATTTTGCTCTTTTTTTTCACTATTCTCAGGACCAGAAAAAAAAAAAGGTTGGATGTTGCAGAGAAACATGACATAAAACCATGGCTAAAAATACAGAAGTGTGGGTCAATGATAAACTCCATGATATATTGGGCATCTCAGATACCTACATAGCCCAATATTTTGTTGGCCTTGCTAAGAAGTCGGACACATCTGCAGAGTTGGTGGAGAGGCTGAAAGACACTGGAACAGTTGAAGTAGATGACAGTCTCATCGCCTTTGCTAGGGAGTTATTTGACAAGGTAAGTCGACAAATGAATATGTTTAAAACTTTTAGGGTTTTTTTTTTGCTTCTGCAGAGGACCTAGTAAGTTATAGAATCAAGTCTTTTTTTTAATGCTTTGACCTATAGGCAGTAAGGATCTTAAGTTTTTATATACAACAATATTTGTAAACTTCTGATTAAATTATCATATATTATTATCAATCTGCTCATGGTTAATACGAAGTGTCTTGTTTCATTTTCTTT